ACTACTGAGTTGTATTATGGATGAAATATAGGCTAAATTATAAATAAACTAAAGAAAGACTGGCATAGATGCATAGTGCTGTTGTTTGAAGCTAAAATGTAATTGACATTTTAGCCCGCAGTCAAAATCAACCAAATGATTCTTAATAAAGTGTATTGCTGTTCTTTCACTCCTGAAAAATGACAGTTAAGATTTAGGCGATTGACATATGTCCCATTTTAAATTCTGATGAATTGTAAACCGAAGGATGGTGGCGTCTTTATCTCCTGATTTCAAAGTAAGAGTAAGTTATACATAGTAAGTTTAATATTAACTTAGATCAAATTAAAAATAAGACAGGAATGACCATCACCTGTGTGCACTACCTGTTTCGAGTCTTACAGAGGAGCTTTGAATTTTAAAAAGAGGAGAGACAACAATGGAAGATGAGAGAGGTCCAAGCCTGGATATTTTGTTTTGCTTTCAGTTTGGCGGTAGACACTGTGAGGTGCTGCAGCCTGTTTGTTTAGTTATTTTCATTTTTAAAACTGATTAAAGAGGAGGAATGTAGTGTCCAAAATGTCCTTGCTGCTGGGAGAATGAGCGAGGCCACCGGCTAGGCCGTGGTGCTGAGAAGCTTGCGATGAGAAACTTGTTTGTTCGCGATTGAATGGAAGGGCATCCAAGGGCTGGCAAAGCAGTGCTGTCTGCCAGGGGCCGAAGCCTGCTGTCATTCACCTGCAGAGGAGCAGGAGACGAAGGGCTTACCATCATGGACAAGGCTGGGAGAATCACTACTGTCTATCACAGAGCTGGAGTCTGCTACCATCTATCAGGAATAGGGTGGGGCAGGAAACATCAGCACACCACCAGCCGGAGAAGCCGTCGCAGATCCTAGAAAGGTGGACGAGTGGATAGAGTCTACCCCAGGCCTCCCACCACATTTGAAGGCCTTTCCTCTCTCCCCTCTCTGTGTCTCTCCTCATTTTATGATCTTCTATTCTTCCCTTGGTCTTCCCTTGGTGCCATGAAATATGTTTAAACAACTGAAATGCCCTGCTTTGTCAAACTATTTTAACTATTCACTTAATTCTTAATATATTTACATACAAATACAATTCAAACTATTACAACTGCCTTCATTCCATTCTAGAACTAAAGAAAAACTACCAAAGGCAGGCCCTATCAGAGGTCAAAATGTAGGCACTTGCATGTAGGCACTCTGATCTCCTGATTCAAAGCTGCTTCGCTTGCCTCTCAGGGATTCTAATGGCTAAAAATAGCATGGCTTCAACTCAACTGACTTAACAGTTCCTGTGAATAATGACGGTCCCCTATTCTAAGTCTTTCACATTCCTAATATGGTGAGGAATATAGTCCTTTGTGCCAGCTTCTCCATTACTATCTGGAGTTAATTATCTTGTTAACGCTAGAGTAATTATTTAAATTGCAGCTGCAACACTGTAATTTCCAAATATTTTCATTGATATACAGTATATACATTGTTCACACACATTTGACCACCAAATGTAAAGTCCAGGAAGTCCAAGGTATATCTTGCACTATAAACAGAGGTGCACGTAACTGGTACACACGAGCATTCTTAATTAAAATAAAAAATGCAGGCCATATGGTAATAAATTGCTTTTGCATACCAATATTGGTATTTTGGAACCTCGTTACCCTAGTGCAACATAAGAAATTTCTCTAAGCATGATAATTATTAAAATTGTGTTAAAAATGTGTGCTGTGCTGGATTGGTTTCTTGCTCAAGGGAAGTCACCTCAGTGATGGTATTGAGAGTAGTGAGAGGTGGTGGACCTGTTGGTGCCAGCATCACAACCTGCAACCTTTGGATCACAAACCCAACTCTCTGACCATTAGACCATGGCTGCCCCCAGTATATAGCGATATTTATTTTGCAAGTAGTACTGTCAGTAGACTTTGAGTTTAGTTTACGTTACAGCAGATATAATTCCTTCAGGTGTAAATTAAATGGTTCAGGACATGGATGGTTGTGGCTTGGAGAAAGAATGCAAAATTTAAGATTTCAAACTTAGCTGATGATTGATTATAAGGCGAGTTTGGCATGCTGTCTCGGGAGAGAGCCCTGAGCTCATAAGATCCTCGAGGCTGGGGCTCCCTCCCGTTTGCAGGGCAAGAGGGGAGTTTGAGCTCAGATAGGTCTCGAGAACTCCAGAGATATACAGCTGGTTAAGAGCCTGACTAGTGCTTATTTAGATTGATCAATTCACTTATTACACATGTTTTTGGACTGTGGGAGGAAACTGGAGAACCCGGGGCAAACCCACGGCAGCACAAAGAAAACATGTAAACTCTGCACCGAATCGGCAACTGGCTTGTTACGGATTTGATCCAGTTATGTTCTTGCTGTGAGGCAACAGTGCTAACCACTGGTCCACACTATAATAAGAATAAGAAGGGTTGAGGAGTAGGGGTGTAAGGGGCAATTCTTCAAGACGAAGATAACTAAAGTGAGAAACACTGGTTATTTATAGCGAGTTAGGAATCATCTGATTGGGGAATCAGGCATTAGTCAATGCGGGACCAGCCATGACCATTCATAAGCACATGTTCCTCTTGAAAGTAGTTTAGCAATAAACTTCAGTAAAGTTGTTGTCAGTATTGGAGTTTACTATGGCATTGTTCTCATATTACCTAAGATGCTGGTGTCAAAGGTCTCTATTGTGCACATAATTAGAACCAGTCACAACCTTGAAAACTGCACTAAATCAACTGTTCGTGCAATACCAGATATATTACTCTTATATATACCAATATATTCAAATCAGATATTTAAAAATAAAGCAATTTTTGGATTTCAAAAATAAATACGTACATTTCAAAATACTGCAAAAATAGTCATTTAAATATAAACATGGCTGTGTGTATGATGGCTGTGCAATAAACTGGACCAAGCAACATCTATTATTTTGAAAACCAGACCAAAAAAAGGATTGAAATTTTAGACTTCAGACATAAAAATTTTTAAAATAGTGTTATGTTTTGAGGGTTATAAACTATAACTTTTATCATTCTCAGGAAATTATATTTCAGTAAATTAGTCTCAAAAACTACTAATAGCATTCTATAAAGTATATCATTAAATTATTTACTTTATATAAAAGAAACAAAACATGATGAGTTGGAGGAGGCAACAATAGTAGTTGATTTTCTTTATCTCTGGGGAATACTCCAATCACGGCACACTCAGTTTGTAAAATGCATCCTCTGCATTCCAGTAGTATGACATCACCAGTCCAGTTTGTTTACAGAGGTCTATCACATGGGCATTCTTCCCACACTCGCTTGCCCAGCAAAAAATGAAGAAAGGCCAATGAAGCAAAACAACAGGAAACTGCATTGAGAAAATCTGTCTCTGAGTTTGCCATTTTATGAGTAATTTTACTTGTCTAAATGAACCAGAAAATTTACTTTTGCCTAGTTATGTTGTAGTTTTACTTATTTAACTTTGATCATTTTACCAAATGTTGCCAGTTATTACCCATTCCTGGAAAACATTGAATAAATTTCTGTTCTAGATAGCTTTATAGCAAAAAAAATAAATAATTTTGTTGCATTTTTTGTACTCTAAGTTATCTAACCTAGATATTTGCGAATACAAATTCTGAAATTAGCCCAACAAGCTATTAGATGAATGGTATGACACTCAAAGCTGTAGATGAATAGCTTTGATGTTGAGCCAAAACCCCTTTCATTTCATAGATAAAAAACTTTTATAAACCTATAAAAATACCTACTTTAAATAAACCTACTTTTTTTATAAATAAAAGTCTTTTTATAAACCATGATTGGCAAAAAAGCAACATAACTTTCTGCTAAAATCTAACAAGACGGAGCACACAACTGCTTCCTAGCACTTTCCATTCCCGTCAACACTGAATTAATTAGCACTACAGAAAAAAACATTTCTGCTGAAGCCAAGACTTTCTCCAGAGAAACACCTTTATTAAAGTCAGTGAGAGAAATGAAAGATTTCTTTGCTTAAGAAAGCTGCCACTATGGAGTGATTGGATATTGGTATTTATTTACCAAAAGACAAAGAACCTAATTATAATATTTCTTTCTACCTGTTAAAAACAAGTACTATATAGTGTGAATATAATAAGTATGCATGCACATCTCTACACAGTATTTGAATGTTTACAGTGTTTGTGTTATCCATGATTTTATTACCATTTTATGACTGTCAAATGTTCATATTTTACTTTCAAAATAATCACACAAAATATTAACCATGATTACTTACCAAATTAGCATATACTGTTTATCCTTTTAATATAAATTTTGTCATATTTTTTTATATTTGGCTAAGTAAAAACTGCTAATTATTCTTATTCTGATTATTCTTACAAATCTGTTTTCTGTTAACTCTTTTTAAGATAAATATCTGATTCAAAAAAGACGCCTAATAATTTAAAGTAATGTTCATAAATGTAATCAGAGTTTTTGTACACTGCAAAAGCAAAAAGCTTGTTTAAACATTTTAAGTGCACATGGTCACAAGGTTGTTGTCGCCGACATATATACACTGCTTTTCGGCATCCTGAGTCACCCCTACCCCACCCACCCCCAAGTCATAATATTTATAAATACACAAGTATTTATAATAATTGCATAAACAGCATTAACTTTCAATTAGATTTTGGCTGTGACAGCTGTTAATCTGGGGAATAGTAACACTGCAAAATTAACTAAATTTGTAATATGGGTACCTTGCTAGGTACATTACTGAATGGTCAGATCCTTAGAAATCCACTTGAAGCTTTCATTTGGAAGATTCAGACAGCAAACAAAATTATGGTATCTTCCATAGCAAAGCAGATCAAAGCTACACCTGGCTTGATTTGACCACCTGACTAATTGTCTTGTAAGTGTTACTTTAAGCATCCTCCACTATACTACATCCGACTTTAGAAATGTTTATTCATAGACAAAAGTATTTATATTTTCAGTGATGTCACCACAACTACATTTCGTAAAGATGAACATTAAAACTTTTATTAATAATATATTCCAGCCACAACAATAAAATTTAACAAATGATCACTAGAAAAAAACTCTTTCATCAGCTGTACAATACATACAGTATTATTTAACTGGCCGCCATTAAACCCCCACTACAGCAATATATGTAGTGTTGTCAGCAGCATTTCACAAAATTAAAACATCATACATATGTACACATCCACAAATTCACATATGTACAGTAAGTTTCTGTGGCTGAATATAAACAAAGTCAAACAAACTTTGTTCCTCTGTTAAAGAATCATTAAAAAAATGGTTTAGTTGACAGTGGGTAGCTAGATTCAAGAGTTAGGGCATACGTTTAAAAACTGTAAAAAGCACATCCTTTTAAAATGTAACTTTCAGCCATGTAATTTGATTTTCCACAATGCTACCACTGTATTGCACACTGGGATAACAACTGGCTCACTGTAGATATCTTGGGGTTGCAGTTTTTGCTGCTTGAAAGATACATCCAACCATGTCAAGTAACACAGGTTTGGAGGTATGCTACATCTGTCAGAAATGTGATAGAAGTGATAGAGCTCAAGTCTCCTTCCCCTTTCGTTAACACTCCACAAAAGATTATCATTTTCAACATGTGCTATTGAGTGGCTTGATGGCCTCTTAATCAGGTAAAAAGAGAAAAATCTGGCTTCTTTTCCCACATAGCCACTAACACAAAAAAGGAATGCACTTTGGTTTGTACCAAATGCCCTGGGTTTGTAAAGTACAAGAATATCACAACAGTCTGAGGTAAATTATTAAAATGTGTTCTTATTTCTATCGTAATAAAATTAACCAGCTCTCATTGAATACTTTTGTTGTTAAGACAACATGAATGCAGTGGTGAAGACACAGGTTACTTTAGTGATTGTAGTCTTTTTCCAAGACATCCCTGTTAGAAAGGGACCCTAAAGTTATTCATCTTAAATCATAATATAAAAACATGTACTGCATGTACAACCTCTGTGCAACCACTTGTTCCCAAGTCTCATTTAATGAGGTTTGGGATGTATCTTTGGGCGATGCTCAAACATGTGCAAGAGAATCACCATGAGGCTTTTTTTTATAAACGGAAGGGAGAATTGTTGTTTGAAATAAAATGAATGGCATTGATAACCAAAGGCACATTGTATTAAACCTATGGGCACAATTAATTCACACCGCTGTCAATTCACTGAACAATAAGAAAGTGTGAAGTACATTGTGAAATGCCTGCTGATGTTGGCAGGTAACTTCTGCATCTGTAAAGCACTATGGGTGTCCAAAGGGGCCTGAGCCCCTGTGCAGTGTGCAGTAGGCCTGGTGGGCACTGCCCGTCTCCAGTGGGGGAAGTAGTGAGGGATCAACATGAGCATTACAGCTTTGCTGGTCTCCCTGACAGCTCACAGAATGACCTCCTTCCACTCCCCACAATCCATGACTGGTTAAAAGCAAGCAGGACTCCCTCCTGCTCAAGTAGGATGTCAAAGTAGTGGCAGATATATTTTTGTGCATTACATTGTAAATCACTCCACTGATATACAAGCCTCATTCAGGCCACTAGTTTCATCTATATTAGCTCTTCATTGACACAACAAAATTAAATAAATAAGTTAATCCTATTTAGCTTTTACACCCCTGTCAGTCAAATTATTCTTTCCATACCACAAATGCTACGTACATGGCCAATCTTTGTGTTCAAATCCAACTGTTCTGGATTTGGGGAAGGTGTTATTAATAACTTATTTGTAACATTATCATTTAAAAAGGGAACAACCTTTAAGAGTTTTAACTCTGGCCTGATATTAGCAAGTCCACCCAATAATTACAAAATATTAAAATATGAAATGTTGTCATTTGTATTTTCTGTGGTTATAGATTCAGTTCTAATAGTACAGTGCTATGCCATTGTCTTGTTAATCTAAGCTTGCATTCAAGCAAATTCAATATCCTTACTCTTAGACACAAGCGCTGCAAAAAACAAACAAAAAAAACATTCATTTTAAAAGACGAGACAATAGTCATTCTAGTCCTTAAAAGTACAAAATAACCAGTCTTCACTTATTGTGATTACACAACACTGTTTTGTTCCATCTGTGTGTTAGGTTAAGCTATAAAAAACATAAAATAGGTAAAGCACCAAAGTTTTTCCTTCCAGGACAGTACATGTTCAAAGCACTCTTCCAGCGAATAGCTTATAAATTACATGAACATACACCTGCCGAGTACTGCTAAGAGCAGTATAGTCTCAAACCACAGATTCCTGTAAACTTGCAATCAGTCTATTTTATGTAGACCACTTACGATACGTTCTCTCTTTTCCTCATTTAATTTCTTGAAGGAATGTCAAGAGATTTATAGGCACATGCCAAGTCTATCATGTAAACATTGTTTCTCTACCTCATAACAGTCGGCAACATCCACTCTCCATTATGACCTGTTTCTCTTATCATAGTCTCCTAGAGTGCATTATGAATTTCTCTAGTCTTGATATCGACAATGAGAATGGCAAATGCAACAGACCTTAGGTTGCACTGCTTTCAGTAAAATACATTTTTAATCCTCATCCATAAATGCACCATTTTATCTTACAGGATCTGAGGGTGGTGATTAAAATTTTTGAAGAACACAAAATATTGTAACCTACAATTATGGCATTGTGGCAAGGCCATTTAATTTTGAAATGTCTGTATCGAAACAATTGGACTCTTTGTTATAGACCAGATTGTATGAATCCTATGTCAAAGCAGCATTTGACACAGACCTGAGATAAAAACTTAAGTGTTGTTCCCCCTTTCTTGGCCGTATGAGCTTTCCTACAAAAAAAATCCAACTAAAGGTGCTACGAAGCAATTCGTAACTGGTGGATATGCATCAAGAACTTCTATTCCTAAAAAAAGTCATGCTTTTGAATGTTCAGCTTTGCATTTCAAATACAATTATTAGAAAGAAATTAAATTAGTATTCAGCTGACTAATTTTGGCAACACTGTCCTTTGTTGTATATTCCCATTGGCATCAGTCATTTGTGCCAGGTTAGTCCTTAATTTTGTGGCTGAGCCAGAAGGGGGAGGTAATTTGGAGATTGAAGTTATAGCACCAGTACCCTCAGTGATCCGCTTTACAGTTGTTTTCTCCGTGGGAGGTTTTGGCAAGCGTCTTCTGAGCCACGGGTGGCGAAGGGCCTGACTAGGGGTCATACGCTGGGACGGGTCCCACTCTAGACACTGTTTGAGGAAGTCCAAGAAGAGAGGGTCATCACAGCCCTTTAGTGCTGTCACCCAGTCCCTGCTGCCTGGTGGACCTCTGAGTTTGCCCCTACGTGACCTTCCCCCATTCAGGACCACAGAGGCATCAGGTAAGGTTGTGACTGTGCAGTAACGGGGATGTCCCTTTGAACTGATGAAATTTTTGGCTCTCTTGGATGATTCCAGTAACTTCTCAGAGGGCATACCTAGCATCTCTATGACACATGCTAGTTGGTCCCCTTCATCTTCTCCAGGCAACAGAGGGTACCCTGTAAGTAATTCCGCTAAGATACAACCTAAGCTCCACATATCAATTGGCATCCCATATCTAGCACCCAGAATGACCTCTGGGGCCCTGTAAAAGCGTGATTGGATGTAAGTGTAGACCCGTTGATGCTCATAGCAGCTGGAGCCAAAGTCAATCACTTTTATCCCACTTCGACCCTGCTGCTTCAGAAGGATATTCTCAGGCTTGAGATCGCAGTGAATGATTCTGTTCTTGTGCAAGGATTCCAAACACTGCAATATAGAGTGTGCAAACTTGCGCACTAGTGGCAAACTAAACCCCTGAAACTTGTTTTTCTTGATGAGCTCATAGAGGTTCATGCTGAGCAACTCAAACGTCATGCAAATATGGTTGCGGAATGTAAAGTTCTCCAGCATGTGAATGACATTCATGGTGGAGTCCTTATCCTGCTTGCGTAAGTGTTCCAGAATCCGAATTTCCTCAGCTGCTTGGCGATGGAAACGCTTTTCGTTACGCACCATTTTCAGAGCCACATGCTGATGGTTCTTGTGGTCATAGGCTTTTACCACTTGGCCAAAACTGCCTTTACCAATAACTTTTAGTACCTCATACCTATATGCTATATGGTCATGAGGCACATGAATGTAGGAGCCCTGATCATCATCATAACCTCCGTTGTTTGACCCCCCAACTACACCTTGTCTTTTCTTTGCATTTGGACCTATAAAATAGATCTCAGTGTAGCTGAGGATCTCTTGGTGTTCAAATACTGAAAGCTTAGACATGTACTGTTTCATGGCCTGCTCAGGAGTCAAAGGTGCTGGCTTAGGTTTGCTTTCAGTTGATTTGATAGAAGTTGAGCTGCCTTGTCGACACTGGCTGATTTCTTGCTGCTTCTCCGGCATGGCTAGACCTGCTCTACCTACAGGTGTCAAGCCATTGGGCTGCGAAGTTAACACTGTTCGTTTGTTGCTGTTCTCCTCAAACAGTTGTTGAACGTGGATCTGCTGGTGATTCCCAACATGCAGATGGTCATTCATTGTGTACTTATTGCCTCCAGCCTGTAAAGTAAAACAAAACAAAATACATAAATTAAGGTTTGTTTTTCCAAATGAACTTGTGGAACAGGTGATAAAACAGCAAATTAGATTGGTCTCAAAACAGTCTTGGAACCTCTTAGGAGGTAATGATTATCCCAAATCACTTTAACCCTGTCAATGGTGGTGGAACAAACTTAGGTCTATTGGAGAAAGCAAAATACTCAAAACATAGTCAAACTACACCCTTAAAATTGTTGAAGTTGGAATGCTAATGTAAGACTGGTGTAATTTATTTTGCGCTTATCTGCTAATAGAAATATATATTCAATTTAGACAATAGGTTTTTAGCAATGCCTGAACAGAGAACAACTTAATCCCTATCTATTCTTAGTGGATCGAGAGAAATAAAGCTTCCTGAACTAAAGACCAGAGATAATCTACAGATAACATTCACATAATCTGCAGAGGGAAAAGAAAGGCTTGAAGAATTTATATAAAAAAAAAAAAAACAGATTAAGCATTTATATCTAATAGAAAGTCACATCCCTTGTTAAATTCTGGTGTACAAATGAACATAATAGGTCATGCTGGTTTGCACAACTTAGATGTTGCAGAACTAATATAAGAGTTGGTATCCATGGTGCGAGTGGCAATTCATTCAAATGCTACTTGATGTTGATCTTGTGCACAAAACAATATTTTTGTTTATTTTTTGACATTAGACACAAATTTCCTGCTTTCCTGTATCTTCTGCCCAGCAAGATGCTTACTTCCTTGATAATGTGATTACCTCTGCATCTTGTTTTCACAAGGACATCCTGTTGCTTCAATCAGACGTTTGTTGCAACCTTCTTTTTCTGTGCCAAGACTTTTACGCCTTTGACTGATATTTCAACATGGTTGTTTTAACGCATAATTGTATATATATATATATATATTTTTTTTTTTTTTTGCATTTCGAATGATAATGCTCAAAATGGCTTAATTGTGCATTTATCATCTAATCTCAGCCTTTCCGTTTCACATGCAGAGAGAGTGATAATCCCCTAGTGCAAATAGCAAATCAGTGCAATGTAATTTTTCTACAAATCTATTTTATCTTAACCTATTTTTAATCTCTACGATGGCCAGTGCTGATGTCTCTACACCTATGACTGAAGATAAGGAATAATTCTGAGCTTGAACTCACAATCTAAAGGCTCTGATACAATCTGCTCTTAAAACACTCAAAATACAGCCATTTCTCTTCCTCTGGTACGGTCTCATGCATTACTTGAGTAGTGACAATGTTTAATGTCTTGTTTAATGACAAAGCTCTGATATCATGCACAGTAAACATGTAAGGAAAATTTAACAAATAACTCATTTTCAATCAGTAAGCAAATCACATTATAAATGAGGTTCCTCTATAAAGCACAGATTTAGGTAGGATTAGGTAGGGGTGTGTAATGTAAATAATTTACCAGCCATTAACAGTAGGCACTATTTACACGGAAATTATTTCAGACATTTTTTGTACAGCTCCTGCAGACGGTCACACTGACTGACAGACTGTTAAGTTTATAAACATGTCCTCGACTAAAACTTAAAGTGAATCTGCATAAAACTCAAGTCAAATTTTTTGTTGTACTTTGCCAATCTGCTAGTTAATTCAAACATGGTCTGGACAGGTGGGAGGTCGTGGAAAGGACAGCTTTGCTGACAGCTGTAGAGGACACAACTTGAGCCAAACAAAAGACACATTTAGTCTGAGGGCTACAGTGAGCCTGGTAATAATTCAAGTGCTCACCTACTTTGCAAAGAAAGATATATGCTTTAATACAGGAGCAGTAAAAATGACCTTAATGACCAGACATTTTAACATGCAGTCAATTAAAGACACAAGTACTGCTGTTGTAGACCTAGACTACCATGACATCCATGTCATACCATGTCACTTTAAGATCTTACATAATTATAAACACAATCTCTATTTTTTATATATATTCCATTTCATAAAGTTCAATTGAGACCAGCAAATACCCTGTGTGTTGTAATGACATATAACATGCCTTTGTGTGTGTGTGTGTGTGTGTGTGTGTGTATATATATATATATATATATATATATATATATATATATATATATATATCATAAATAATATCATTAAACATATATGTTGTATGCAGTTGTAGAATACAAAACATACATTTATATCTGACATGTAATTTTATTAATTGCAGAAATTCTGTCTTGTAATAGTATGCATGCATACAAATGCACCTACTACACGTGTCTGGATCTATATTTACCCTATTAGAATAACAGCTTAAAAAAGAACCTCTAGCCTCTTAGTCATAAATGGCATTGATCCAATTCCTGCCTTTAATTCAGCGATGTGTCAAATACATGTCCATGATCTACAATTCTTTTAACATTATAAATAAACAAATTGCTGAACAGTTGTTGATTGCCATGCATTGTAAAGCACTTCTAAGTATTAATTATTTTACTAGAATTTATCACCACATTTATCATCACTACAACATGCAAAACCCCTTTCTATGCAAGTTCAGTGGATCAAGATTTTGGATGTATATATTTACATAGGAAAATTCACTAGACAACAGATTTCAGCTGTACATGTTTGGCGTCACACACTGATGACCTGAACGTTTCCCATCCCCCACAAATGGCAACAGTTTTACACAATACATCAGCCAGGGACTGAGAGAGAGTCACTGACCATTACTCTCGGGGATACCTAAATGTTTTTCATATTTAAATGAACATCTACTAGATTCTTCTCAAAATAAATGCCATGTCAAAAATTGTTTTAGGTGCATGGTTTCCAACATTTCCAACAAAAGTATTGCAAAGTTGCTAAAGTCTCTTCAAAACGAATACCTTTCAAGTAAAGTTGTTTTTCTCCTACACCTTTCTGCTGTCTCAATTCAGTAGTTTTCCCCATATTAGTCTCAGTAAAGACCTTTGTCATATAATACCATTAAACATCCCAAAAACTGGGGTGCTACGTCCACTGCAGTTTTGAAACTCAGGAATAATATTTTTGGGCTGTCAAAGTAAATATTTGAACTATGACCTGTATCTTAACTCACTTTAAATTTTAGTGCACTGTTAGTAATAAAGCTGCACTGAATTTAAAATAGCTTCTTTCAAGTACATTCACTGCATCTCTAACACTAATCTAAAAGGGTAGAACAATGCACACTGTAAACTACAAGCAAAGTAAATATTTTCAGAAAATACTTTACTAATCTGCTTTGCATTCAATACATGTGGCAATATAGAAACAACTTATTTACGCAATGAAGAAAAAAATCATTACAATAGCATGCATCAGACATATTATTATTAGGGTTATCATTAAATTAACTGCAGCCTTGATTTTACATCAAGGACTGTTAAATGGTCTTTGCAGTCGAAAAACAATTAGCGAAACTCAATGTATGACCAAATCGAAATTCAGCCTTATATTGCAGCAAAACACTTTATGACAACAAAGAAAGGAGCATGCATCGTTGAAAATGCAAGAAGCATAATTTTACCGTGAGAGAGTTGCTGTTCCTGAGTGGTGGTAATGTGACGGGTGATGTGGTTTCAGTGCCTGCTCCAGCACGGGGACCCCCGATGCCCAGTCCGGGGGAAGACTGCTGGCAAATATCACCCCCTTTGCCTGTGGATAATAAAAACACGCAATGGGAAAATTGCTTACACATTTGCTTTAACGTGTCAGTATTCTAAAAAGGCAAAAGATGTGACAAACGGCTTGTTTGGTCAATAAATAGAAATCTGTAGCCCCGTAACGTTACGAATCGATACAGAAATAGGCGTATTGATAATATAGGAAATGTAAAGAAAACAAGGATAGGTTATTTAATCCATTAATAAAACAAAAACGAACACTGCACTGCAAAACATTTCACACCCTAGCTATAAAAGACCAATAAACAAAATAAAAATTTAGGCCTTTACAAAGCGCGTGGTTTTTATTTATATTAATTCATTTAATACAAAAGCGGCCTCTTTTCCAATGGTGTTTCCGGGGCTTATGGCTACTGTAGCCTACTCGACCCTAACGTTATAGCCAACACGAGAAATAAAACGAAAAGCCACGAGCCTTACACGCGTTATGGAGCATTTAAATCGGATAAAAAATCCATCTCCACAATCCAATCCGGAGAATAAATGCGCCCGACGTCGCTCTCTTAGATCCGGGCATTGGGTTCCTTACCAGTCGGGTAGGCAGCAGCCGCAGCGCAGGGTTTCTTAGTTAACATGGCCGCTGGAGAGCCACACACACGGAGAAAAGCCACTTCAGAGTCTCTCCCCTCCTCCCTGTGATCACCCACTCTGACTGCTGTTACTCCAATCAGCTACATCCAGACCTGAACGAGCAAACTCTAGGGGCTGCTTCCTCAAACGCTACCCGAATTCGCGTTATCATCGCTTGGAAACGTGCAAAACAAACAAAGGCGCACGCATGGCTCTGCTACGCTCCGCTCATTTGGGCCTAGGAAATTCTGCCCAGCGCGTAGCATTCTCTCACACGCATACAGTAACTAGACATATACTTTAAAGCGGTTTAGGGTGTTGTCTGGACTTATCTTTCACGCTCGTTCGCCTCCACCTTCTTTTCTTTCCCCTCCCCATGCGGCAGGCTTTATTCACATTAATCAAAGATTTGTACTCCATTAAAGCAATAGAGATGAGCATATTTTAAAGACGAGTGCTCATATTTTTATTATATTTTTATTCTTTAAGAAATAAGTACTTGTTATCAGTGCTTATTTTTAGTTACAATTGCTAAAATTTTTAAAAGTTTATATGTATTTCCTTTTAACGGTTTAAAAATGTTATACAATATAAGACTTGTGTTAAAATAAAAAAATAGAGGAATGCATGTTAAAATGGCTTGCCATACTCATAGAGGACTTCCAAACTCCAACCACATCTGACCCAAACAGTGTGCAGTCACATCTGATGCCACAGTTTGTTTATGCAAACTTTAATTCATGACAAAGCATTTTTATGCTTTCAGGCCCAATATACAAAATTTTCATCTTACTAGTAATATTTGTGTAGGTGTGAGTTTGAAGTAAGAGAAAAATAAAGTACAGTGTCTAGATTTCATGTGAAAAGTAATTTGATGATTTAGAAGACTATGATGATTAATGATTATGATTGTGTGTCAGAGCTTTATTAAAGGTAACACCCAGCAATTACTTTAAATAATAGTAAATTATGATGCATCATATGTACTTTCTTCTGGATCTTGGTGACCAACTGACCCATTTGTACTTGTAGTAGGGAAACATTTCTTTCTTTCTTTCTTTCTTTCTTTCTTTCTTTCTTTCTTTCTTTCTTTCTTTCTTTCTTTCTTTCTTTCTTTCTTTCTTTCGAACTTTAATTGCACCGGTCTACATAAACGTCTTTTTTGACACGCTTCCCATCATTTCAGTCTTTTCTGCTTACAATGCAGTACAGTGACAGTATATTGAATGATTATTTCTTGCAGCATGTTGGAGGAAATCACTGTCCACTAGAGGGTGGAGTGAGTGCATTGTAACATTACTGTATGTACTGTACATTTAGTTCCCAAACAGAAGCCATATATACATATTAATTAGATTCTCGTGTCTTATTTGATTTTAATACAGTTATTTTACTTTATTGTCATATTTGAGTAAAAAACAACAAACATAATAGACAAATGTCTTCTTTAAATTTCATCCGCTGCTGGTGAATTTGTTTATGCATAACTACAGATAAAATATAAATAAATACAAGCATACAAAGTGCATTCAATTGTGATTAGGTTATTTGTGATTAAATCTTTATCGCTATCTCTTCTTTACAACAGTCTTTATTACTAAAAAGCAATACCAATGATTGCTCACTACTCCTCCGAGTAACTGCTGTGGTCTTGGAGATGGTGGACTTGAACCACAGCTCAGATCATCCTATTTAAGTTTGGGCAGTGGTTTCTACCAGAAGGTGTGATTTGAGGTTCTTAACAATGACTGTATCCATTTAACTTGAATGTCCTGAGACATTGCCAGTTTGTGCTTGGCATTAAAGCATTAAAATTATAACATTATCCCAGTTTCATTACAATCGGCCAAAAAAATCTGAATAAAACAAACTGAAAAATATCTTTACCATCTTTAAACTCTAAAATAAACAAGAAAACAAAGCTCACTGTGAGAATAAACGTTAATAAAAAATATATAGCGAAAAAACAAGCAATTCACAATCATCTCTGGTGTCCATCCCCCCAGGAAACAAGCTAGAGTAGTGTCACATGTCAGGCTGTGGTCAGAGAGGAGCAGGGTATGCTGGGATGGCTGTCATGGCATTTGTCACTGTGGTTACTGGGAAACATCAGTGAGCACCATGAAACTGGAACTCTGATAACAGCATTGGCTCATTTTAAATGGAGAGGCTGAAGTTAACTCAGGGCTCGTGCTAACTCTCACATCAATTGCTTGCATTTTCTAAGAAGAGGATATCAAAGGGCTGGAAGAAAGCGCTTGTTGAGGCATTAAAATGGTCTACAAAACAGTTTAAATGAGTAAATATTAAAAAAACATTTACTTTAAATATATATTAATGCTATCCTCTGTCTTATTCTACCTATTAAAAGTCCAATAAATATAGATCTAAGGGCATATTGGGAACGTGCATTAAGTGTGCTGAGTTATCAATTAGAAAAGTGAATATAAAGCTGAGAGATTTTGTTATGCATGATTTAGCATAGAACGGAAATTAAGAACAAATTAGTACAAACTCTAAATAAAGTATAATATACAGTTCTACTCACTCATATTTAATTAACCTGCCACCAGGTACCACAAACAAGCAATAAATAAATCCATACATCACAAATAAACAACTAAATACATATAAAATAAAATGCAATATCTGATACCACTAACCTGGCAAACATTTGGCAAATCCAGTGATTATTTCATCCTTAAAAGCATTCCTTGTATCAGTCCAGTACCTTGTAAACATGACTTTCTTTATACCAGCTGTGCTGTTGTGCCCTTTTACTCCCGGAAGTTGTGTCAAGCCGACCAATCACATTAGACCTCTTCAGACTGATAGAGTAATTCCTTGTTTTGTGAGCAATATGCATCACATTATCACTCTCAAGACCATGGTTACCAAACAGTTTGTGGGTGGGCTGTCTGAGCCAAAAAAGACTACTGCTTTGATAAAGGATTCATAAAATGGCAGTCCCTTGCTTTGTGCCATGCACAATATCTTGTTGCACATACGCCATCAGCTCAGGGGGAGGATGCAAGGGTTGGGCTATATTTAGCTTCTTTGCTTTAGAACTGCTGGAGCATCCAGGCATTAGAATGGGACTCTGGGAATGTGTGGTGATTCCAGACTTAGCTTTTTTCCTCTTGGAAACATGTTCACAGAGGCACATGGATGCAGTAAATGACTTTGGAATATTGGCATATATATGCAACAAACACAGAAATGTGGTTCTATCGCTGTCACCCTACACAGATTATTGCAAGATTGTAATATTGCATCTATTGTTCAGCTTGCTTTTGTGCTTAACCATCAAGTTTCATATGTATTATGCTATATTACAAAACTTGGCAATGTTTTCATTTGTTATGAATATTTTTCTAAATGATTGGTATTTATGCCATTAATTAACTTTTTTAAGAAAACTTTTAATACACAATGTCTGTGGCTTTTTTCCATTTAATCACCAATTGTAGAAACAATTGGTGATTAAATCCTTTATAGAAACGAATAGTAATAACAAATCATTATTAAATACCAACCGAATAAGCTTTAAAATAACATCTAATCGAATGAAGAGTTTGCAAATCTGATTCGATACTGAGACCTATTTGATTTGCATTGCATAAGAAGTCACCCTCTATTAGATATGTTGCTAAAACAAAACAAAAATAAACATGAAAGTGTCTCCTAAAAGAATGAACCAATGATTCCAGTATATTTCCCCCTAGTGACTAATTAAAGCGTGTATAACTTCACCTGCTCTGCTGCAACAATAATGAACCCTGTCGACAAAACACCTCCTAATGATATCTAGTCCTGGGGACAGTACTATGCACATGAGAGCTCTTCAAAAGCACCCACACAAACACCTGATCATGTTCCATTAGTTAACACTAAAGCATCCACCTGAAATGGGGGTCAAGGCCAAAGAAATTGATATCAACAGTCAAACAGAAAAGGTCCAAGTTGTTTTAAACTTGATTATCTTACATAGTGGTTTTCAGATTTTTATGCTTCTTACAGCATCACGCTGTTAGCTTAGCAACAGCTCTATTTCAGATTCAGGAGCTATTTCTGTGGCACATATGATTGTTCCTTATGAATCTTTTAAAAATGATCACGCTAGTTTTCTTGAAATGTCTGTTTATGTAGACATCACTAGATCTTGAAACAGCAGCACATTTCTTGCGCTGACAACATACAGGAACCTCTCATTCATTAAAGCCTCAACATATATCCAATAATCAATTACAACCCTACCCCTGTGTACCTTTTCTTATACAGTGCTCAGGCATAAACCTGTACACTACTTTTTGAACATGAATATTTTGATTTATTTCCTAGTGAATGTAGCCAATTTTTTAATGCATTTAAACAAAACAGTTTTATTAAAATGTTATATGTATTAAAATAAGAGTTTGGTCATCCTAACATCTTTACAAAATGGAAAGATACCACATTTAACTTGAAACAAGGTATTAAAAAATAAACTACAAAGTTTAAACAAAATTGTATATTTCTCTTGAGTTTTCTGTTGATTAAAATATATATATTTTCCCCAGTGATGGGTTGCAACCCATGGAAGGGCATCTGCTGCGGGAAAACATATGCTTGAAAAGTTGGTGGTTCATTCTGCTGTGGCGACCCCAGATTAATAAAGGGACTAAGCCGAAAAGAAAATGAATGAATGAATGAAAAATATATTTAACATTTTTCCCCAACATATTAATTTGGATGTGCTAATTTGTGGACTGTTATCTTAAATTATTTTGTTAAATTAGTTCTTGTTTTGGCTTTGGTACTGACTAATCTGTATATGAAGAAATATATTATTGTAAAGCATACTAAAGAAAATATGAATTTAAAAGAGAGATCTGAGGGGTGTAGTCATTTATGCTGAGCATTTCAAATTATAAATTATTCACCAACACCAACATCATCGTCTGGTACATTTTATGCACCAGTGCAGACACGGTTGATAAAAATCTATTATATTCATTCTCTTTGCTCAAAACTCCAAACAGGTGGCAGGTGTATCATAGGTTTACAGACTCCTTTGAGCCCATTAGGATTTTGGGCCAAAACAAAAGCGCAGATGGCTGAAGTAGCATTTCCATCTGGTTAATAATGCAGTCAGGTTTATGAAATGAGCCTGTGTGCTGTTTAGTGATTCGATCTGTTGTCATCCTCTCACATCAATGGAAAAAATCAATAGATACAGTGCTTGAAAGCTGTCTTGCAAATCAACACTCCTGACACACAGCTTGACTGATAAGAGATTCAACAAAATGGTGGATGGTTACATAATAAATGAGTCATGTTCACACGTTAGACTATATTTGCATGCACACTCCCTGCCCACGCAGACTGTCTGAGCAAATATAAACATGCAATCACACAAAAAGACAGGAAATATATATGCCTTTATAAATAGGGTTTGAAAGAGAATCCAGCACTGATTGTACAAGGAATTTCCTCTACCTGTGTTTCCTTGTTAACACAAATCACCACTATATAAAATGCTTAATATTATTTTAGTTCATTAATCATGTTTGAAGTATTGTTGCAAATAGTGTAATTCAAATCACTAGCAAAGGGAAAAAAATCAGTAGGAATACGGAAATTATGACTGTCACCTCATGACCAGATAATTGTTTTATTTTAGATAAAATCATAACACTGACTCATTCAACATCTTAATACTAATACATACTTTCTGTACTCATTCACATTATGTTGCTTACTCTGTCTGTGTACATAACAGATCTATCTTCAAAAGAAATTGCCTAAGGCCATGGGGCATATTTTTGTCAGCTCCACTGTCATACATTCACCCACACTGCACATATTTAGCAGGGTTTATTTTTACAGCCATCTGGTGGATTCTTGTAGAAAAGCTCGGAAACACCTCTGAAAATCTTAAGCTTTGGCTATTCCCATCACCAGTGAATCAGATATGATGCACATATAAGTTGAGAGGCAGTGACTCAAACAGACCAATCCTACTTTATCTAAGTGTGCTACAAATCACTGATTTTCACTTGTTACTTCTCATTTTCTTACATATGTATCGTATGAAAGCATTTACTTCCAGTATCCGAATTCTTTCATTGCACTTTAAGACATTATAGCTTTCTCATAGAATGCTTGCTTGAGGGGTTTGATGTATCTTGATGTATTTGTGCATTGAATTCAAAGCTCACAGGCAACTTTAGCTATACTTGAATGGTTCAGTGCCTTAAGCTAAAGATGGAAGAAGCATCTCTCATTCCCAGTATTCCTTGCCTCTAACCCCCACATTCCCAGTATTTTCTGCTTTTGGGAACCCCCTCTGGCCAGAGACATGGTTTTGCAAGCAGATGCAAGGCTATAAACAGCATAGTACTTGTTGCCACATTGGAAACTTTGGCTGAATTTAGACTCTTCTCTCGTCTTAAATTCAGTCAAACCCTACCTTGAGCATGTTGCCTTTTTTCATTATGGCTACTGGTACAACATCTGGCCTGTATAAAGTGGCCGAACGGATTGATTGTAGGGGGAGCTAAATAACAAAGCACACATTTGTCTTAGTCTGTTGCATTAATCGAATGTGAGTCACTATTAGGCAGTCTGCACAGAACGGTAGATTTCAGCGCAACACGCTGCACATATGTTGCTCTGGGCACATGATAGTATTGTGCATGTTTAAAGAGCCACCATTCAGCTTGTCTCTAATCGTTTGTACATAGGGTAGCCCTTACACAAATTACAAAGGCCAGTCCAGGGCTGTGCAAATAATGTGTTGCTTGGCAACAATGAATCTCTATTATCAGCCTGAATATCAGAGGCCTTGTTTACATCCTGCAACAGACAGAGTTTACAAGGCAGGAACAGGTCTAGTTCAAATTACATTTTGTTTTTGATATTTAAATTCATGGCTATTGTTGTCATGTCGGTGGCTTGTAACATGCTACCTTCTTTTGCATAGCTCCAACGGCTTAGCTTACTCAAATGAAGCCTACGCTAAAATGTCTCTTGGCACATCTGTTTGATTGATGACGCTGAAGGCTCAATTACCTAAAGTGTTGTTCTACAAACAAGGTTAACTACAGACCTGTAGACCAATCAGCTCATTAGAAAAGTGATGAATAGAGAATAACATCCAGTTACATGATCTCTCACTGAGGGGGTGAAACTAGCATGAGTGTTCCATCTGCACCAACGAAAAGAGACACCAGACCCCCAACCTGAGATGCAGCATCACTTTTTAAGCGTCCCTCTCTGGTGGTTTACTGTGATGTTTAATGTATCTTCCCAACGGACGGTTAAATAATTTTCAGTTAAATGTGAATTAATATTTATATTTTACCAGTTGTTAAATATTAGTGCAGTGAGGTAATGTAAACAGAGAAAGCTGCACAAACTGCACTTGGCCTTTTATAAATACATCCATTCATAAAAAATTAAATTAAAATTCCCCTAAACTGCAGGCAAAGCTGAAAGTGGCAACTATCAAACTAACTTCCCTCTTCATCAAACCAAGACAACAACCACCGACAGCTACAGACTTACTACTTCAGTGTCAAGTAGGAAGCCGCTGAAATGCTTCAATGAAGCTTGTTCACACTGCAAGGTTATGAAGTACCACAGTCATTCCTGCTGGGGTAAAAAAAGGAGCTTCCAATTTCCTGCAGCTGCATTTACACATTCATTCACTCAACCAGAATAACCATGGTGGAATATATTGTGCAGTTCTGGTCACTATGAGGATGCGATCACAGTATAATCAAGTGGAGACAAACATGAGGTGTGGCGCCCTTTTGGCTTTTGGTTATCTCATTATTTTCCTTGCAGCCTGAGAGGCAGACATTGTCAGAGTCTTATCTGGTGTTTGTTTTCTTTAGCAAACGAGAATGCAGGCAAATACTTATTGACATGTTCAGAGAGTGAC